ACAGGACATGGTTGGGAAATAGAAGCGCTCGGAGGTCCGCGCGGACGTCCTGGATCGGTGCCGGACCCCCGGCCCTGGCACGTGGAGCGATCCAGGGGCGCCGCCCAAGCTGCCGCCAGGGGTCCATCCAAGAAATCTGCGCGGAGCTCCGAATGGTTGTCTGCGGTCGAAGAGTTTAGCCCAGCGTGCCGCCGTGGCGAGGCCTGCGGACCGCTGTGCCTTGCCAGTTGACGCTGCCTCGCGGGAGGGGGCGTCAGGAAACGCTCGAAGCGCTGATAGCTGGGGACTGGGACGCCCTTGGCGTGCGGCGCCGAAGAGTGGTTGGCCAGAGCCCGCGCCGCGACTCCGCAGGCAAACGTTCCTGACCGTACGGTCTTCGTGCTACAGTGAGGAGCGCATGGTGACGAACGAAGGGGCGTTTCTAGTCACGGCGGGCCTTGGCCACAAACATGCTCAACTACGCGCATCTAAGGAGAGGCCCGAATACCCGAGCCCCTCCTGAATCCGATCCAGTTCTCAATGCAACGCCTCGGCCACATGTTTACATATTTTGGGCAACGGACAAAAGGCATACGCATAAATTGTCAGAACTCCGCGCTGATTTGTTAGATTTGCGCTTGACCTCCGACACTCCCTGGCGCGCGAAGCGCGTCAGAGGGCGGCGCTGGAGGCGCCGCCAGGCCGCAAGAGATCCGCAAGGATCTCCAACGACTCATGTTGATGCCGTTGCTTCTTCTTCGTGTGTTTCGAGACCAGGAGCATGTTCACTCTGTTTGCCAGAGTAAGGGGGTTGAACGGTCATCCACTGTCCCATGGGCGCTTGGCTGAAGTGAGGTTCCGCGGTGAGGATTATTGTTGTTGTTGTCGTCGCCGTCGATGTTGTTGTCGTTGGGGTTGTCGTTGTCGTTGTCGTGGTCGTTGTTGCTGGTGCTGTTGTTGTTGTTGTTGTTGTTGTTGTTGTTGTTGTTGTTGTTGTTGTTGTTGTGCTTGTTGTTGATGTTGTTGCTGCGATATTTGTTGCTTGTTGTTTGTTGTCGTCGTCCCACCCGCGAACCACCCCCGTCTCATCCGGGGACCCAACCAGGACCCACCCGCGACCCACCCGCGACCCGCCCGCAACCCACCCGCGACCCACCCTGCGAGCCACCCGCGGCCTACCGGCGACCCACCCGCGATCCACCCCGCGACCCGCCAGCGACCGACCCGCGACCCAACCGAAACCCAACCGCGACCCACCCGCGACCCGCCCACGTTGTTTCAACCAAGAAATTTGCGCCTACGGCGGGGGCGTTTAACATCATCCTGTAACAACTTAGCGCCTGCGGCGGGCTCATTCGGAGCCTCGCAGACTGCCGACGTCCCCGCCCCCCCCTCACTCTTATCCGCAAGTGCGGGGTGATATGTTCTCTTCTGTTATGTTTGTCCGCCACTTCGTGGCAAATGACGTTCCAAACAGCGTGTATACACGTGTTTCGACACTCGTCGCCTGGAGAACCGGCCGGGACATGTATATATATATATATATATATATACACACACACACACACTACTCGGTGTCCTGCGGCGTTTCTGCGAATCTCAGTTTTCTCCTGGGCGTCGCGTACTGGGGCGTGGGGGGGACGCATTTGTGTCGGGGGGTGGGAAGTCAGGTGCCCTTGTCGCCCCGAAAAAGCCCCTCCCCCCCTTCTCGGGGGGGCCCTGAACGGGCCCCTCTCGGGGCCCTGAACGGGCTCCCGTTCTGCGGCCCTCTCTGCCGCTCCCCCCCCCCCCTCCCTCGCCCCCTTCAGCAGCCGCAGCACGCGACGCCCAAGTCTTCTTCGAGGTCCGTCTGTCGGGAAGCCCTGCTCGCTCTCCTCGGCGGCGTCGAGGACGGGCCCGGCGCCGCCGCCTGCGGGCGGCGGTGGCGCCGCGGCCGGGGCGGAGGCCTGGGGCGCGACCGTGGCCTCGGGGGCGGCGCGCTTCGAGGCGAGCTCCTGCGAGGGGGGGGCGTTAGTAAACAGCCTCGGACGGATCCCCATCCCTCAGACGGGCGAGCAAAAAAGCGAGGAGAACCTCAGGGACGTGCTTGCAGAGGCCGAGGGAATCCTTTTTGATCGGCATCGAGGTGAGGCGATGCCAAGCACGGGGATACGGATGTGTGTTCAAACTCGTGAGTCAGTAAAACAGGGCTAGGATCGGGATAAATCGCTCCAGAGCGTTCCGGAGCGCTCTCAGAGCGTTCCGATCTTCGCGTCGTTTTAGAGTTAGAGGGGGACTCAGAGTTTCCGAGGCTCGAGGTCTGAGGTGTGTTGACGTGTTCGCTGCTTCTCGGCGGCTCTCCAGCCTCGGCGTCCCTACTCCCGCGGCGGCGCCACGCCGAGCGCTCCCCCGGAGCGTGCCGCGCAGCCCGCCGGAGGCCCGAGCCACGGCCCGAAAGCCACAGCAAAGGGACCGGCGGAGCGGGAGAGCAGATTGGGCTGGAGTGCAGTCGGGGCGTGCCGCGCCGCCGCCGGAGGCCCGAGCCACGGCCCGAAAGCCACAGCAAAGGGACCGGCGGAGCGGGAGAGCAGATTGGGCTGGAGTGCAGTCGGGGCGTGCCGCGCAGCCCGCCGGAGGCCCGAGCCACGGCCCGAAAGCCACAGGAAGGGACCGGCGGAGCGGGAGAGCAGATTGGGCTGGAGTGCAGTCGGGGCGTTGACCTGAGGAACCCTAAAGAAGGAGCGAGGCCCCTTTTTGTCCATGAGTTCCGATCGAAGCCCTGAGGAACATCTGAGGCAAGCTGCGAAACAGTTAAGGAACACGGAGCCCCTTCCCCAACGAAAAGGGTTCCTTCTTCAGGGCCCCGACTGTAGGCGATGCCTCGCCGATGGATTGGCAAGGGGCCCCCGACAGCGACTCCGCGCGGTCCTCCAACTCCTCCTCCTCCTCCTCCTCCTCCTCCTCCTCCTCCACCTCCACTTCCTCCTCCTCCTCCTCCTCCTCCTCCTCCTCCTCCTCGGCAACAGCTGGGCGGTCGGGAGCCGAAGCTCGCCCCCCCGAGAGCCGCCCCGCCCCCCCGAGCGCTGCCCCCCGGAGATCCTGCAGGTGGGCGGTCATGAAGCCGAGGGCGTCGGCGGGCTGCTCGGTCAGGAGCTGGTGCACCATGCTCTGCAGCACCTCTCTCAAGGGGCCCAGGGACACACAAACAAACATGCACTACACAAATCCCCGGACTCCCCAACTCTTTCCTTATGTTCTGCATGTTCGTCTTCCCCCCACTTCCCATATTTCCCATATTTTCCTGGGAGTCGACGATTGATTGTGTCTGTGTGCTTTTTCCCCTCCTGACTTTCGGGCGTTCGTCAACCAGGACGAAAAACATGTCATGACACGATTGGCTCACGACACGTTCCAGGAATTCTGCAGCATCTAGCGGCACTCGTCTCAACAACCCGTGTGGAACAGTGGGGGATCTGGGGGCTGCTGGACATCCGGGGACGTATCATTATCAAGACCTCTTGCGCCTCTGATGGATGGGGGGCAATAAACGGGGGGTGAAGAAACGTTCGCCTTTTCTGGGAATACCTAGAGATACCGATCCAGCTAGTTCCCGGACCTCTCCCAGGGTGCGTGCTGACCAGGAGTTCGAAGCGAATCCATCGGTGGCGACAAGGGTCTCCCAGGAGGCCCAAGAAGGGGAAAACGAGGGATGGGGTAGCAGTATGGGTACCAGTTCCTCCTGCGATGTTGAGGCCCGTGGTGACAGTGAGCTGTTTAGGGCCCCTTTTCGGCTGTCCTGGATGCCCGCACGGTTATTGCCGCCCCGTTGCCCTTCGCCCAAACTTTCCAGAAGGGGTAAGCATCGAGTCGACAAGCCGTATCGGCTCCGAACAAGCATCGAATCGGGCCGCATCGGCACATAATCGGAATCGAATCGGTTGCGCCCAGAAGACATTCAATAACAACACTGAAACACCCGGGGGTGCGCAGGACACTGAATTCCCGGAAGCTCTTTGCTCCCAAATCGGAGCACTGATTGGGCGGAGGGGGAGGAGAGAGGAGAGAGGAGGGGAAAGAAGGGGACGAGGGGGAACCCTACGACATTCTGCCGGTCGACATTCAACACACATGACATCCCGTCGGATTTGGACGCCCCGAATGGGTACGGAAAAGATAAGTACAATGCCCAACAACAAATGTTGCCCCAAACCATCAGCGGTCGCTGGTGGGTAGGCCGCCTTCTGTCTCGAATGGGCAGGCCGCTTCGGCGTGGACAGCGAGTCCTGTTCAAAAGGCACAGGAACTGCTGCTGGCACTGTACCCACTCTTTCCATTCCCCTTTCGCCCGCGCCGATCCGAGGACAGAAGCAGGAGCTCTCGGAGGCTCGCCCGGAGGTCCTGAAGAGGCGCTAATTTTACCAGCCTGGAACATATCCCTATCCCTATGCTGGGCACCTCCTCATCACGATGCCAATCTTAGGGATTCCCTTTTTTTTTTAGGGCGAATCCCTAAGATTGTCATCGCCTTTTGGCGTGCCAATCTCAGGGATAGGGACACGTTCGAGGCTGGTAATTATCAGGCCCCGCTCGGCGCGCGCGCCGTAGGCAGGGAGGCGCAGCGCCGCCGACCCCAGAAGAATCCCTCGGGGCACCTCCGAGGCTTCTGCCTGCCGAATGGGGCCCAGGAACACACACACACATACACACACGCAGACGCACACAAACACAGACGCACAACACACACACACACAACACACACAACACACACAGACGCACACCACACACAACACACACAGACGCACACACACAACACACACACACACAACACACACACACACTACACACAACACACACAACACACAACACACACACAACACACACAACACACGCACACCACACACACACACACGCACGCACACAAACATACACACAAACACAAATGAGTAGCCACAAATGCCAAGATTCCCCACAGGTTCCCCTTTTTCCGGGGCCCTCGTCTCCCCCCCCACTGGCCGTGTTTTGTTCCCCCACTCTATCCTGGGAATCGACGAGGAATGGTATGGTGTCGGTCTGTGCGTGCGTGGCTCCCCTCCTGAGATGTGTGCCCGTGACTTCTCCTCGTCGGGCCTTCTGCACGCCGCAGCTGTCCAGGTAGCCTCTGGCCTGCAGGGCCGCCTGGTGCCTCGACACCCTCTGCGTGCCCTTCCTCTGGCCCTCGGCCTCGGCGGGGTCGCCCACCTTGACGTAGGTCGGGCAGGCAGATTTAGCAGGAACAATGGAAACTAGTCACAAACAACATGTAATAATTATCAAAAATAATAGAAGCATCATCCCCCGACTACTTCTTATGACGTTTGAATCTTCCTCCTGCAGAGGGACAGGCCCGACTTCAACCTTGACCCTCACGTCCAAGCTGATGGGAGAGCCGTCCCTGCCGGAGAGCTTCAGGACAACCTGCCTGGCGTCCGCGTCGCCGACGGGGCCCGGCAGGTCGCTCAGGTCCACCTGCCGGGAGCCCACCTTCTCGAACACGTCCAGCACGAAGTGCTTCGGGGCCGTCTTCAGATCGAACACGACGCCCGGCTTGTACTGCACCTGCTTCCGCACCTTCGGGCGCGCGATGGAGAGGGAGGCGGGGACCAGGATGAATGGGGGGTTCGCGCATCAGCGGCCCGAGGCACGTGCGCGGACGAAGGAGGTGCAGAGAACGGCTTACAAGACAAGGAACGTCACAAGAAACAAAAAGTAAGATGAAGACGGCGAACCACAAGATTGGTACAAGTAGGATGAAGAAGCGGAAACCATGTCATCTGGGAGATTTCACGGCCCTGGCCAGGCTATAGTGCTCACCCCCCTCTTCGACGTCCTGGTCGTTATGGGTGGTCACACCTCGGGCCTCTGGCGGCTGCTCGGAACGACCTGGGCACCCCTGGGAAGCTCTCAACGAGGCGCAACTGCTGGAAAGCATCCCGAGGCGTAGGTCGGGCATTTCCTCCTATGAGAAAAACTAAAGACAGTCAAACGAACCCAGCAGTTTTGAAGAATGGTGGGCAAATCGTGCCCAGACTCGACTCTGCTTTGACAACTTGTGAACCTTCCCCCTGTGGGGGACATGCCCGACCTAACCCGAGGGCATCGTGCTGCTCCCCGCAGGAGCAGCGGCCTACTGGATGGGGTCAGAGGCGATGGGGCCGGACGATCGCGCCGCATCGGCGACACATCGGCGACGCATCGGCGACGCATCGGCGATGCACCAGCGATGCATCGTCGACGTCGGCGGTGCATCGGCGACGTCGGCCCGAAGCCAATCGGGTTCCGCATCGAGCCGCATCGGCGGTGCATCGGCGATGCGGCGAGATCCTCCGATCCCATCTAATTACTCCGATCCCATCTCGGTGGTATCGATGGAGGTGGCCCCCTCTGGCGATGGCGGCGTCGCTTCTCCTTCCTCCGATCCCAGACCCACGACGTCATGATTTTTTCATGACGTCGACCCCTAGGGGTCTCGACCCATTCCCCGGGACCGGGTTTTCGTCCTGAGTCGTTTGTTGACGGTCCCGCGGCCCGGCGATCGGCGGTGGACAAACCTCCCTTTAGTAGACCTCCCCTTCGTGAAAACGGCCTGGGACCGAAACCGACGGACCTGGACCCGCAACAATGACGGCCGCGACGCCCTCTCGCGAACCGAAAACGGCCAATTCCTTCATCGGCGTGTCAGGGTAGGAGTTCTGTCCACTCCCGAGGCAAGGGTCCCCAGAGGCCGAACATGTAGAACAACCCGCCGTCATGATTTCTCCATTTCTACGAACAAACCCTCAGACCGATTCGCTCCAGTTCGCTGCTAAGCGCGGTTGCGTGGCGAGTACATCAACGGCCACGCGCTGGCACGAGAAGATGCGGCATGCTTAGCTTCCTTGTTTCGAAGTCTCTGGAATGCCTTCACAGGACCAGCAGTCAACCACTCGCTGCGGAAGGTGATTCAAAACACGCACCCTGCCCAAAATCGATCGTTGGAGCATCGCTCGATGGCCATGGCCTCGAGGGGGGTCTGGGTTGTTTTGCGGGACTGGAGAATGACCACAGCCACTGCTTCTGGTTTGCGCCGCCTCCTAGCCGGCCGCAAAAGCAGCAGTCGCTGTGGTCACTTTCCGGGGGGGCCAAGCTCAACGACAATGACCACAACCACCGCTTAGTTTCTGCGGGCCGGAAGGCGGCAGCAAAAGAAAAGCAGTGTGGCTGTGGTCGTTCTCGCGCCCCGTACGTCGTTCTCGAGGGGGAAGGAGGAGGAGGTGGGGGAGGGAGGGGATGTGGGGGAGGGAGGGGGAGGGGGAGGAGGAGGGGAGGAGGAGAGGAGGAGGAGGAGGGAGGAGGAGGAGGAGGAGGAGGAGGAGGAGGAAGAGGAGGAGGAGGAGGAAAAGTCTCACGCCCACGGCGCCTCCCCCGCGCGGATGGAGATGTACGCCTTCTCCGGCAGGCCGTCCGCGCCCAGCACCGTGACGTCCATGGGCGCGCGCCGGGGGCGGGGCGGGGGCCGCCTTCTGCTATCAGAGGCCTCCTACAACCCTCGGCGCTACTCCAAGGCTGACGCTAGATATCTGACGCGGACGCAAGGGCTTCAAAAATCCGACGACCCCTCCGCAGCATTGAAGAACGCAGTTTCTCACAAGTGCCCGAGAAGATCGATCGTCGTGATTTCCAAACGCGTTTCTGTTTATTTTTGACGAGGCTTGTAGGTGGGGTCCGAGCAGACGGGGTCGGAGGATCGCGCCGCATCGCCAAGGCATCGCCGATGCATCGGCGATGCATCGGCGATGCATCGGCGTGGGGAGACGCGGGCTCCCCATCGAGCCGCACCGCCGATGCATCGGCGATGCGGCGCGATCCTCCGACCCCATCTACGGTGAAAGCGTATAGTGAGGACGCGTGGTAAGGACGCAAGACCCTTGGATGCCGAAGTTGAAGAATTCTGGCCTGCGAACATTGCTAGGGACGGGCCGCAGGGGCTGAGGCAGGCAAGGGCCCAAGGGTACCCTTGAACAAAAATCGTTTGTCCTCACTATGCGCGTTGACTGTACTCGGACCCCAACTGGGAGGCCTGGAGCTATTACAGAGAGAGGGCGCGCCCGCGGCTGGAGCCGGGACGGCGGCATTCGTCGACGCGCGGCTGCAGGGCGCAGGGGGTCGAGGGCGCGAGCCCCACCCACAGACCCCCCCATCGAGGCCATGGACATCACGGCCTCCCTCGAGGAATGGAGACCCAGACCCCCCTCGAGGAATGGAGAAAACCCAGACCCCCCTCGAGGCGCAAACAACCCAGACCCCCCTCGAGGAATGGGGAAATCATGACGGCGGGTTTTTCGACGTGTGCGGCCTCCGGGGGTCCCTGCGGGGCCGCGGGGCCGTCAACCAACGACTCAGGACGAAGAGCCGGTCCCCGGGAATGGGTCGGGACCCCTGGGGGTCGACGTCATGAAAACATCATGACGTCGGGGGTCTGGGCACGGGCCGTAGTGGGCCCTGGAAGCGCCAAAGCCGCCATGTCGCGTGTCCGTCGTTTCGCGGATCGAGGATCGAGGGTCGAGGATCGAGGGGGGAGGATCGAGGATCGAGGATCGAGCGACGATCGAGGCCCGAGGCTGGAAAATCTCGGGGTGGTCCCCCGTGCCTGCTCAGTCACCTACTCCCCTCCCTTTCCTCTTCTCGCGGCCGCCCGCTGCTGCTGCCTCCCCCCCCCCTCTTGCCTGCGGGGCAATTCGCGACTCCGCAGCCCGGATTTGCTCGACGCGCGAGCGGATCGCCTCTGCCGCGCGGCGACGGCAAAAAATTCTGTCCTCTATTCTTTCCGGTCCCGTCGCCGTTTTGCTTCGGGTTTTGGTTCTGGTTCCGATCCTGGCGCCGTTTGCTTTAGCAATTTTCATCTTCAAGCGACAGATCATCGGACACGATAACCGGGACCCACTAAGCCATTAACCATATATATATATATATATATATATATATATCCGAAACTGCAGGCATTCTAAGATGGAAGGCCCCGAAACGAACGACATAAGGGCTAGTGTGGTTTGACTCTTCTTGTCAGCGGTATGGGCCCCCCTCTGGGAGCACTGGGCTCAAACATGCTGACATGTCTCGGTGGCGCACCATGTGTCTCCGCGGGCGTCTGCCGAATAGGATATGCCATATCCACCGGTCACTAAGAATAATGAAGCCTTTTTTTCCGAGCGCCCCAAGCGGGCTCCCGCTTGTCCGCTTCCGGCCTGCAAACCGTTACGAACGAAGCCAGCGCGTCCTTCTTTTGCTCTCGGCTGAAATCGAAACTGCTTGCCCGCCCGCGCCAAGCAAAACCGAGATGACGACGTTTAGGCCGAAGTTAAAGTCTGTCCCAGGACCCCTCCTAGGCAAGGGAAGGACAACGAGAAAGACGACGACGAGGGGGCGAAGGAAGGCGAGAGAGGGGAATGGGGAGAGCGGGGAATGAGGTGGAGAAGGAGTAGGATGAGGCGGAGGCCGAGTAATTATGAGGAGAGGGATGAGGAGTAGGAGGAGTAGGAGTAGGAGTAGGAGGAGGAGGAGGAGGAGGAAGAGGAGGAGGAAGAGGAGGAGGAGGAGGAGGAGGAGGAGGAGGAGGAGGAGGAGGAGGAGAGAGTCGACCGCGCCCAACGGGGTTCAGCCAGCAGCCAATGCGCCATGCCTCACCTCTGGGCCAAGAGCTCTATATGAGGACCCTGAAGAGGCAGCCGCATAGCAGCTCAGATCGTCGAAGCCCGAGCACGACAACTACCGAATTGCGCAGCCAGACGATGCGCATAGACATGGGCGACTACAGCACTGACAGTTGACTGATCTTCTGCACAAGGAGCGAGGCCAAGGCGAGGTGACGTGCCTGCTGACACACCTCGAGGGAACGCATTGCGAACGAGGGCCTTGAAAGGCCAACACCCGAGGATGCCATGCGGCACGGAACCAGCACAGCCAGCACGTTCACGGATGCACCCGCGGGCCGTTCTCTGCACGTGCGCCTGGATGCCGTCCAGCCTCCGAGCCACGACCGAGGACCACGCTATGGGGCAACGCACCCAACGATTGCCCCACCGCCCTTATGGGCCACCTGCCCGACCCCACTCCTCGGGAGGAACCACCTCGTGATGCGGTGATCGACGGCGTGGTGCGGCAGATGCGAGCCTACAGGGCAGTTTTTAATGGAAAGGGATACAATGTCAATACATGATTAGTGTATGATGAAATGTATGCATGAACTCACCGTTGTTTTTAATGCTAAATCCCGAGAGCGAGAGAGAGAACGACAGCGGGGCCACCAAGGTCACGAAGTAGGCCACGAAGGGTGACAGCAGGGAAACGAGGGGAATGCGTATGGGGCCACGAAGAACACGAACGAGCGGGGGCCACGAAGGGCAGATAATGCGGGGCCACCGAAGGCAACGACGGGGCCACTGAGGGTAGCAACTGGGCCAGGTAGGACAGCAACGGGGCCACGAAGGGCGACAGCGGGGCCACGAAGGGCATGCACATGGGGCCACGACGGGCGCGAACGAGCGTGGGCCACGAAGGTCATACATATATTGGGCCGCGGAGGGCAGAGTCGGGGCCACTGAGGGCAGCAACGGGGCAACGAAGGGAAGCGATGGGGCCACAAAGGGCGACAGCGGGGCCACGAAGGGCATGCTTATGGGGCCACGACGGGCGCGAACGAGTGGGGGCCACGAAGGGCATACATATATAGGGCCACGAAGGGCAGCGAGGGGGCCACGAATGTGTGCAACGGGGCCACGGAGGAAAGCGAGGGGACCACGAAGGGCTGCAACGGGGCCACGAAGGGCAGCGTGGGGGCCACGAAGGGGTGCAACGGGGACACGAAGTGCAGCGATGGGGCCACGAAGGGCTGCAATGAGGCCACGAAAGGCAGCCAGAGGGCCACGAAGGGGTGCAACGGGGCCACGAAGGGCAGCAAGGGGGCTTCGAAGGGCTGCAACAGGGTCACGAAGGGCAGCGATATCATGTTTCCTAAATAATCTGTGAGGGAGTCCTAAGCGTGAGCGCGACTCCTGGGTGCCTGAGAATTGGGAGCGCGGCGCTTGAATCAAGTGCGGTAATCTTTAACGCAGGGGCGCTATTTTTGAGTATATTGCAAGCAAGTGTCCAACGAGAGCGCGACTCCAGAGCGCCGAGCGAACGATTCCTGAAGAAATTGTCCAGAAGTCCGAAGCGAGAGCGCGATTCTGAAATAAAATGCTAGGAAGTCTCAAATAAAATGCGAGGAAGTCTCAATCGAGAGCGGGGGTCCTGGTTGAATCATGAGAACGTCTCAGGCGGGAGCCGTTATTGTTATAACCCGGGGGCCAGGGGCACAGTTGGAGCATCAAGACTTTCCCGGTCAAAAAAACAGGGTGCTAGCGTCGAGGGGCACACTTTGATTGAGAAAACACAGCATGCGCCGGTGATGGGGGGATCAACAACAATTAATTTTTCAGAAATAAGACTTCAACAACAACAGCAACAACAACAATCATTATAAAGACATTTCGCTCTTACTTGCCCGTGTGTCATTCACACCCTCGATACCCGTCCTTTTTTGTCCGCTTTGGGGGGGGTGTTTCTCTTTGCGGGGGGCGGCGGGCTTAGACAGGCGGGCAAACCTGAACGGGCGGACGATCCTTCTTGGGCGTACATGCGCCCGCCATTGGAAGTGGTGTGGGCCCTGCAAAACAAGGAGGGGGAGAACGAGGGAGAGTGGGAGGAAGGGAGGGGGAGGGACGAATGAAGAGGGAAAGCGCGAGGAGAGAAGGAGCGAAAAGGGGGGCGGTTGATTAGAGGCAGAAAGCGAGAGAGAGAGAGAGAGAGAGAGAGAGAAAAAAGAGAGAGAGAGAGAGAGAAACAAAACACACACACACATACATATATACATATATATATATATAAGGTATGTAGAGAAAGAGAAGGAGAGAGAGAGAGAGAGAGAGAGAGGGGGGATAGAGAGAGAGAGAGAGAGAGAGAGAGAGAGAGAAAAAAAAAAAGAGAAAGAACGAGGAAGGGAGGAAACAGGAGAGGGGAGGGAGAAGGGATGAGGGAGAGGAGGGAGACGGGATAGGGCAGAGAGGGAGGACAGGATTTTTGGATTGCGCTGCTGATGAAGCGTATGGCCTGTCAGCTGATGGCGGCGCTGCGGCTAGCAGAGGCGGTCAGCACAGTCAACTCGTGTGGCTATGCTAAACTAGGGGGAAAACAAGCCTACCTCGCTTTTGACCACCCTCGTTTCCAAGAGATACCAAACGACGCCAAGTTGCAGCCTGTACTGGTCAGGCCGCTTGACGAGGAGGCGCGTGGTATGGCTTGGTTTTGCCTGGAAGCGAAAGCGGGGTAGGTAATTCACGCTCTGATAAACGGCGAGGCTCGCAAACTCTGCACGGGCACCAAGTCTACAAGTACAGTACAGTACGAGGGGACCCCCGCGACAGAGCGGACGGAACGCGTCGAACCGAAGCAAGGAGTCCAGGCCCTCCCAAACCACATCACACCTCTCCGTACTACCCCCCATAATAGGCGACTGGACGGCGAACGCTAAAGGCGGCGACAAATATGACGTGCTGTGCCTCGTCCAGGGCACTCGGCTGAGCGGAAGGGGGGAAGGAGGGAGGGAGGGAGGGAATGTATGTGAGAGGGAGAAAGAGGGCTGGGACACAGACCGAACTCCTCCTGCTCTCGTATCACGGAGCTGAGCGAAGGCTGGGACACAGACCGACCTGCTTTGCTCTCGTGATGTCGTGACATCTCGTACCTGAGCGTGGAAAGGAACTTCGCACCCTCGCGACACGGACAAACGACGACGGCGCAGGCAAGCAAAATCGATTACCTTCGCGCTAACAGCGGGAGGGAGGGGCGGCGACAACTGCTAAGGCCAGGCGTCGGCGCCTAGGCACGTCTGGGCCGTGGCAGCACGGCCCAGGTACCAGCCGGAGCAGAATCCACCATCCCATCACCCCCCCGAATCCTGATCCTACCCTCCTCTCATCCTCATCACTGCTTCGCATGAAGCTGGATATAACATTAAGACCGCGTGGAGGCACCACAGCGGGAGTTACCACGCGGACAGTGTGCAGGCTGAGGCATCTTCGCACCCTCGCGACACACAAAGAGATGCATAGAGATACACAGGAACACGATTATCTACGCGCCGTCGTCAGAGGCTGTGCCGAGCCTACGCCGGGACATCATACCTGAGCGCTGACATGCATTCATGATCCCACTTCTATGATACTACATATGGATGCCGATGGCCGCATATGCGGCAACCATGGCGGCTCTGGCGGCTTCGATGCCGCCTTGAGCAGCGACAGCGTCACCGATCCTCCGGCTCCTCTGGTCATCGCGTGCCGCGCGGGAGCCAACGGACTGTCCCAGGGTGTCCGGCACGGCCACGCGCTCAGCCTCCGGATGCCGCGCCGAAGCAGCAGCAGGGACGGGGACCACCTCGTCGAGGGCCTCTGCGGCGCGCTCGGCTGCCTCTCGCTCGGTCGCTGCCTGTGGCGCGGGCACGGCCAGGCTGTCGGCCTCGGCCTGGCGCACAGCGGTCGGGCGACGCCTGGCCCACGCAGCACGGCGTGTGGACGCCTTGCAATGGGCCTCGAAAGCCACGACTGCGGCTGTGGCCTGCCCCTGCCCGGCCAGCGGAAGCCCATGACCACTGGCTTCGGCAGCACCAGCGCCGAAAGCACCAGCAGGCAGACGCGTCACAGGGCGGAGCGCACGATCACGAGAGGCGTGGCCAACACCACCAGGAGCTCCAGCTGCAGCAGCAGCAGCGGGTAGCACGTACCTGCAATCTCCACGATGGTCCGCACGAGCGTCGGCTGCTGGTGGCGGCGGCAGATCTCGTGGAGGCCGTAGCAGGGCCGAAGACGATGACATCAACCTCGGCGAAAACGGCGGAGGTCCGGTTGGCGGCGGCGGCGGCTCCGGCCTGCGAGCCGCCAGTGGCTCAGCAGCAGCATCATGAGCACGATCACGGGCACGGGCCCCGCCCGCAGCCGAAGCCCCCAGCTCCGGCACACCAGCATGACCAGCACGGTCGGGTACGAGAACACCACGAGCAGGTACGGGTCCAGCACCAGGAACTCCACGAACCTGCAGCTCGGACGGAGCCTCCGAGGCAGCAGGCGACGGCTGAGGCCACCATACTGGCGCTGCGGAAGCTGGGGGCGGCAGCGCCTCTGGCATCCAACACCAAGTGGCCGCCGTCGCCGCAGCGCCCTTCAAGGCCTGCGCGGGTACAGGGACTCCCGCCGTCGCGGGGAGCGGCACGTACATGGGCGCCTCGGCCCTCATGCCGACGGCGGCCTGGCCCGTCCGCGGCTCGCACCACTTCGCCTCGGCGTTCATGCCAGCAGCGGGAGACGCCTCGCGGCGCGTCGGCCCGCTCTTGGCGTCGGGATGCGCCTCGCCGCGCACCAGGGCATCCTCGATCCTGCGGACCGCCTCGGCGAGCTGCTGGAGCTTGACGCCCACGTCGCCGTGATGCCAGTCGCCGCCGCAGTGCCAGTCGCCGCCGTACTGCCAGCCGGCGCCGCGCTGCCAGGTGCCCGTGCCGCGCAGCCAAGCGTCGAGCGCGTCGCGGCGGCGGCGGCGGGCGAGGCGGCGGGCTGCCGACGGGCCCAGCAATCGAATGTCAGCCTGGCGCTGCCAGGAGGGCCGCCACGCCATCGGGCAGCCTCGCACGGGCCGCCACGCCATCGGGCAACCCTCGTAGCCTCCTGCAGCTCCTCACGCGCCTGCGTGCGCCGCTCGCGAGCCCGCGGGAAGGGCTCGTGTCGCGCGGCTGGCCCGCGGCTCGCCTGGCAGCAGCGCCAGGGGCGAGGCGAGGCGGCCGGCGCGCATGGCAGCTGCCCGGCGGCGCGAGGTGCGCTGCTCCTGGAGCAGTCCAAAACACCTTGAGCCAAAATGGCTACGGAGGGAGGAGAGGAGGAAGGAAGGAGGGAGAGGGAGGAGGAGCAGGAAGGTAAGAGCGTGAACGTTCGAGAAAGTCCAAGGCGAATGCACCGTTCCTGAAGGAAGTCTCGGGCTGGAGCCCACGACGGGCGGGCGATCCCCTGACGGGCGGGTCGGGCGGGTGGGACATTCAAGCGGATGCCTGAGTATGGCGAGAGCGCGATCACTAAGTAAATTGTCACGGCGTCCTTGGCGCAGCGTGTTTCCTGAGCGTCGAAAGCGCGATTGCTGAATACATTGTATGGAAGTCACGAGCTAGAGCGCAATTACTGAATAAAATGTGAAGAGTTCTCTGGCGGGAGCGGGGGCCTTGATTAAATTGCGAAGAAGTCTTGACTCAGTTGCGAGGAAGTCTCGCGCGGGAGCGCCGTTCCTGATTACATTGTGTGAGGAAGTCTCAGATTGGAGCGGAGGTCCTGACTGAATTGAAAGGAAGTCGCAGGCGGGAGCACCGATCCTGAATAAATTGCAAGGAGGTCTCAGGAGCGGGTGTCCTGAGTAAATTTGGAGGACGTCTCAGGTGGGAGCCGTTGTTGTTGTAATCCGGGGGGCCAGGGGCCCAGTTTGAGCAGGAAGATTTTCCCTATCAAAAAACAAGGTGCGAGCGTCGAGGGACACACTTTAATTGAGAAAAACAGTATGCACTGGTGAGGTGGGACCAACCATAATTATTCTGCAGGAATCAGGGTTCAATGAAAACAACAACAACAGCAACAACAACAACAACAACAGCAACAACAACAACAACAACAACAACAACAACAACAACAACAACAACAACAACAACCACAACCACAACAACAACAACAACAACAACAACAACAACAACAACAACAGCAGCAGCAGCAGCAGCAGCAGCAGCAACAACAACAACAACAACGAACACACGCCAGCATAACAGCAAGGCACCGAACCGAAAATACATGCGAAAGAGAATTCTGGAAAGGAGAACTGACCCAGAACATGACAGAACCAAAAAGCACCCCCAGCGGGTTTCATATCCTCGAGGCTCTGGGGCCCTCTGGGCCTCGTGATGGGACAGCCCTGGAAGTCATCATCTGCGGCGGCCTGGGATAAGCCGGGGCCACCTCTGACCGTGGACACTCCTGGCAACACCCGGTCTGTCTCGGGCGGTGTTGGGAGCCCGCTCCTCCGGCTCGGGGCCGAGGGTGGCGCAGATCTTGTAGCTGTGGCCCGCGGCCAGCGCCGAGGTGTTCTCCCAGAACTGCCAGGCCCCCCCGCCGGCGTCAAGCAGCGGGTGGTGCTCCTCGCGGGCGGGCCGATCGAAGAAGACGGCGGCTGGCGGGGGGTGGGCGGGCCGAGGCACGTCGAGCACGAGGGCAGCCGCGGAGCCGCTCCTCCGGGCTTTCCGGCTGTTGCTCCTGCTCCTGCTCCCGGTCCTCCTCTCCCTCGGTTCCCGCCGCCGCTCCTCGTCCACCCCACGCCCCCCCCCCCCCCCGCTCATCCTTATTATCAACGTCGCCCCTCCCCACACTACCACCACCACCTCCTCCTCCTCCTCCTTCTCCTCCTCCTCCTCCTCCTCCTGCTCCTGTTGCCTTCCTCCTCCTCCTGCCCTTGCGATGGCCAGCTCCTGCCCGACGGCCAGCCTGGGGGCCAGCTCAGCATCCACAAGAAAAGCCGGCGCTGGCCCAGGCACAGGCCGCTACGTTTGCCTCCAGCGCTGCGAAGCGCGCCGCCCTGCCAGTAGGCGTCCCTGGCCATCGAGGAGTGTGCAGCTCGTGGGATGCCCCCGCCTCCTCCTCCTCCTCCTCCTCCTCCTCCTCCTCCTCCTCCAGCTCCTCCTACTCCCCCTCCTCCTCCTCCTCCTCCTCCTCCTCCTCCTCCTACAACTCCTCCTCCTCCTCCTCCTCCGCTTCAACCTTCCTCCTCCTCCTCTCCCCTCCTCCTCCCTCCTCCCCCTCCTCCTCGTCCTCCCTCCTCCTCCTCCTCCTCCTCCTCCTCCTCCTCCCCCCTCCTCCTCCCCCCTCCTCTCCTCCTCGTCCTCCTCCTCCTCCTCCTCCTCCTCCTCCTCCTCCTCCTCCTCCTCCCTTGCCGCGGCAGCCATCGGCTGTGGCACGCTTGCTGTCGGGGGGTGCTGCGCCGTGTCGGTGATGATGGCCTGGCCATGAGTGAGAGCTGCGTCGCGTCCGCCTGGTATGTGGCCTCACTGCCGGTCAGTATTCTGTGGACCGCCGCCCAGGATGGATGCAGCGGGATGCCGGATCCTGCCAACGCCTGCTGAGGACAATAGTAATAGTCACCGGGCGCCACTGACATGCCCGCTGCGGACTTGTTTGGAGGGGTCCACCGAAGTCCCACACGAGCTCGGAAGCGTCCTGGAATCACATGCGCCCTGCGGTGTGCCCTTGCTGGGAAGACCGCTTCCCACCGCGCATCACAAAATGTTGGCGCTTCAAGATGCCTCTGGAGGCGCGCCGCTCCACGCGTGGTGACCAAGACTCCAAGACACTCGATGGATCACTGGAGGGCGTCGAAGGCGCCCAACTCTCGATGTTTCTGGTGGAAAAAACCTTCA